CGCGTGTCCATACGTGCGACATGGTCTGGCTGATTGCTGTATGTCGTAGTCGACAGTCGCTTCCGTGCTGCTACGGGGTGTATGCGGTGGAAGTCAGTATCGCCATCAACGCAGGATTAATCATAGCAACGATCATGTGCGCCTGTAGTTTTTCCTCTTAGGGGAGGAAGGTCATTCAATTTTTTGTTATAAATGTTCATACCTAACTTTTTTCTCGGAAGGTCTAACTTGTGCCGAATATAATCCTTTACTGATGACCGTGTCGCGTGGGAACTACAGAGTCAACTTACTTGACGCCATTTTATTCTGACACCATAAGGAGAATGAAATTCATGAACACTAGATGAAATATGGTGAATCTATTCGCAGTGATATTCCTACTTCATAAAATTGTAGATAACTTCCTTTAATACTAAACCCTCGAATGTTCCAGTATTATGAAATCCAAGCCGATGATCAGAAAGTTACCCGCTTGAGCTGGTTTTGTACTGTCCCAACAGTGAATCTGTTGAAATTAAATAGCGCATCAGAACTACTGGAATCAAAGTTCGATAAAAATATTCATTAAATTCTGACTGAAGTCTTAATCATTAGCAGCTAAACCGTTCTTTACACTACAACTGCGTCGGCAGTGGATATAATTCGTCCCCAAATTCACGAACTGGCGAATTTAAGTTTCGCTTGGTTTTCAGGAAAGCCGTCTGAAGGTTTAGTTAGTGATTACTTAAACCCAAATATTGACTATGTTATTCAAGAGAACATTATGAAATTTTGACAGGAGACTTCTAGGCTGATGTTTTTTACTTATTCTAGTAGAAAAATATATCCTAACCTATAAAAATAAACATTCGTCTGTTTGAGAAAGTACTTTAATTGACAAAAAACAACAGATTTTGGGTAATAAGGACTATAAAATCCAAATTTGGGTACAAAAACATATTGGATTACTAAAACAAACGAATACAAAATATTGTAAACTTGACATTTAAGTGTCAACAACTTGAATTATTCTGCTTATTCTAAAAAAAAAAAAATTAAACTTAAACATAAAATTATAATTATTAAAAACAAAAAGAACTTAACTGCTTTAGTGTGGTACATTTTTATGATATTGTATTGTATGACGGGGTTGACTCCCTGACATAGTGATATCAAAGAGTTATATTTTTTTGAGGAACTTTTTGAAGTCCTTTATTCAACTTGTCAACCGCTACTCCAAACAGATCTACATTTCGTGGAAATTCTATGGAACTAAAAGTATCTGCAAAGTGGCTGGTATTAAAAACTATTTGGTTAATATTTAATATGACTTTTAGTTACCATTATGTTAAGCATTTTGGTCCAGTTTACGTCAATTATTCATCTTGCGCTATTCCCAAGGAAAGGATTCTCAGATCCTACGAAAGCTTTTTAAAGTTTAAAAAATCAGTATAGTCCATTTCTGTGACTATATAAGGATGTTTTTTTCTTGCCAGTTTAATTATGGGAATAATCTGACTAGGTACAAACAAGTCTCCGGCCGCTTTTATAGCTCTGCTTATAGTGCTGTGTGCCGAATCTCCCTCAATTTGTCCGTGGCAGACTTCAAAAAAGTAATCTACAATCGTCTTAACGTTCTTACTAGTTTTTAAGAAAAACAAGGCAATACAGAATTTTTGTTTTGGCCGAAACAGCCATCAGAAAAAAGATCCACTGATTCGGCGCCCTTTTCGTCACAAATTAGCAAAAAACGAAAAATACAAGAAGAGATTACTTTTCGTTTGATCCCGTATAGCAATAACAGTCTTTGTTCGCTAATTCATATATCGTGAAATTATAAAAACTTAGACGCTGCTTATAAAATAATGCGCTTTCCTGGGTAATTGGTAACTGAATAACCTGTTGAAGATCGAATACAGCACTAATGTGCCTGTTGTTTTCCATTGCCTCTTGCTTACTGTTTTCTTTAATTTGTCTAACTTTTTTCTTTTCATTTTGGTGCTTCTCATAAGTCTGTTTCATATTGCTTTTAGTAATTTCGTCAGCGCTATAATAGGTATTGCACAAAGTACATTGGTCTTTTTTGGGTTTATGCACTGAAACATTTAAAGATTTAAATGCTCTTCTGTATGTGTTGAAACTAGCAGGATCTTTGTCTTCATGTTCTTTCAAATACATGTCAAACATTTTTGTAATAGAAAGTTGTGGTGGTAGGTACTCCTTGGAAGATTTCTGTCTACAATAATGGGACTCAACCCTGGGATATCTATTTATATGCTGTAAAACTCAATGTTTTAATTATGTTATGTGTTCATTGCTTCTGATCTTCCACCTCTACCTTCTTTTTCAACTACACCACTTGCTTTCTTTTTTCCATAGACCTTCTCATAACTTTTTCTGATATACTTAGAGTATTTAAAAAAGAACTTCACATACTGACAGTTTTCACCAAAAATAGGGTAAGAAAAATACTTTCTCTTAGCTTTTCTAGAATTGGTCTTCTGAATTTTGGGAAAAATAATTTCTCTTAAACTACATATGTATTGCCTTTGAAGATATAGGCTCTTAAGTGAATAAAAATCAGTCATAATTTCTTGGCGCTGGTCTTTTGTCTTTTGCTTATAGTACTGTGTACTCTGCTCATCTCAATTATCATAATAATAATAATAATAAATGACATTTTTTCCAAATTTCTTGCAGTAATCGCTAGAACAAGCTGGTTTAAGTAATTTTGGAGCGACTAAATTCATCGTATTAAAAATTGTGTAATCTTTGCCAGCGACTTTCCTTTTCTTAACTTCTTTTAGATATGCATTTCGACTTTCTTTCTTCTTAAGAAGTAACTCTGTTTCACCACCTTCAACTTTAAAATCTTCTGGTTTAGACTTCCGTTCGGAAATTTCTGTGGTCACGGGAAAATTATTATTATTATTGGTATTATTAAAGTAGTTAGTACGTAGTTTATGTTTATGGCAACCTACATTTTCCGATATGCTGCAATATCAAGCTGGGTTTACAAAGAGGCGAATATAAAATATGCCTGTTTGAAAGAGCTAGACATTTTCATTTTATACATCGGCCTAAATTGAAATATCAAATATTATCTGAAATATTTGACATACATATTCGCCACTTCGAGGGGTCATAGATAGATGTAGATACTATTCAACCACCATATAATAAAAGAAAGATGATATCTATCATGTTGCGTAGTCCAATATTTCAAAAATTCATGTGAACCGTGGGATTTTCATCAGGACGGCAGAATATTTCCTAATTCGTGGGTTGTGGTACTGGTAGATTCTTTGCTTCATCGTCAAGTGTAACGCTACGTGTTATACTTCGTGGAATACCCTCCGTCTAAGGAGATGTTAGGCCAGTAAATATGTAATTTTTTCCTACAATTCTGACGACAGTAAAATCTTTCGGTAAATTATGGCTTCTATTGGCGTCATGATGGGGCTGGAGCGTTTGTCGCCATTTTGCAAAACTCGTTTGACCGGAAACTTCGAAAATCGTCGATCCTGCGTAAAAAGTAATGGAAACGATTTTGTAGGGAATTGAATTCTTCATCATTTTGCTTCTATAAAATTGATCGATCAGTCAACAATTTATGAGCAAATTAAGGATTAGGCTTTAAGTAATGATATTTTCGCTTATAATGGCTAAACTAACAACCTAAGCGTATGAAAAATACGATCCTTTTTTAGCAGAGAATAGCATTTTCTACAAAAAAGGTGCTTTACGTGTGTTCGATACTCCAATGGTTCTTCAAGTATAATTAGAGAGAGTCAAAAATTTGATCAAAATAGTCGTGCGGCTTACTTCCGCATTTTACGTTGTCCACGTGTCAACTTACATGTTTTCACGTAAGGATAACTGCATAAGTCATCACATCACCTACGATCACTAGTGGATCCATTCTTTTACTACGGAGCATAAGTATGGCAGATGATTTTGGATATTTTATGATGTCTTCATCATGGAATTGGTAGTTACTCACATCACTCTGTCTATTGGGCATTTTGTCACTACGCAGTCTCTGTGACCGTTGCAACTATATTAATGGAAAGGGAGGGATGTAATAAACTAACATTAACCACTACATCTCCTCCTCTATTAAAATCGCTGCAACAGTATCACGAGTAATTAAAAAAATATTACAGAAAAGGGTGATTCACTCTAAAACGGTGGCGCAACTGTTTTGATACGCATTTTTGACGTTCCCTCCTTCAAGAACCATCAATGTACCGAAAAAACGTATGAGACTTTTTTTGGCAAATTTCATTCTGAAATCTACTGTTAGATTCATAGTTTAGCCATTATAGGCAGAAATATCATTATGTACCTTTACCACTTAATTTCGTCACAAATGTATTCCGGGTCTCCGCATGTTCTATCTCTATCGTTTCTGCATCTCCCTGTTGCTTTCCTAATGAAAGCAATATATAAGCAGCTCCAGCTTTGACAGTTCAGATGAGATGCGAGCAAAACTGTTGGTTAATGTTAATTAACCAACAAAGCGATATCGTGGCGAGTGAAAACAAACCAAACAAAATACAGCATGCGGCAGGCTGTGTTGAGATACTACAATTACGAGAATTGGCTTCATATGAATACGTGTCTTAGGCAGTTTATCCACCTGTTTCGAGTATTCTTGACGAGCGCAAGTCGGCTTCATGGAATAGACTGAATCGGGAATCGTGACCGTGTGATCAGTCCATAACACTCGATGGTTCACTTTTCACTCCACACTCCAGCTAAGAGTCACGAAAGTGAAATCGCAGCATGCTACGCTGTCACCTTCTGGCTTCGTGAAAACGTAGCTTGTTGGCAAATGCGTAAGTGTGGAGTAAGCTTATACAGTCATCGTAGGGTTCATGTAATCTTTTGCCTTTTGCCGATGGGTTTCCGCAGTTGCATTTACCCTAGATTGGCAAATCTATATAGATTATCTTCGTTGCTTCTAATTTACTCTAAAGGAATTTCCTCTTTGTCCGTCAGAAACTGAAGGGACACAGTATATCTTGATAGCTTTATTACAAAATACAAACAATTGCGTATTTGTTAGTGGCCTGACACTTCAAGTATACGTTTCCTTTCCAACTTCCGGTGACTGAAGAACACCTTTTTAATCGCCTTCTGTAAACAAAAAAATTTGAAATGACTTTTACTCAACATATCTCCGTAACCAGTGGGCCGATTTTAGCTTATTGAAGCTCATTTTACTTCTTTTTTAAGAATTAACCTTTTCAATGATGACTCATGTATACCTCCTACGCCACTGTGCGAGCCAGTAATGGAATCGCGAAAAATTTTGACAATTAGACATTGTTTTTGGATGTTATATGAAATGTGCATTAGGAAAAATCATGTCACTAATTTCCACCAGTTAGTCTGTCTGCAGATCTGCCGGTCTTTCTGTTCGCTAACCCTTGGCGCTTCTATAACTTAGAAAAGTCTCATCGGATTTGGATGAAATTTTCATACAAGGTTACTACTGTGCCAAAATCGAAAAGAATTGGAAACACTTTACATTTGCGCAACAATCCAATATGGCGTCCATAAGAAAAAATAAAGTTGATGCTGGAGGTCAAGATACGAATCGTCATAATGAAATTTTAACCATTCTATCTTGCAGAGGATGAAACGTTAACCTGAAATTTATTATGAAATCCCATCTCAAATAAGGTAAATAATAAACGAGATTTTGGGATAAATCTGGTATACGAAACAAATCTGATACCTTCAAGGCCTACCAAGGGAATCTTCTTCTTTTTAAATAGCTGAAGCTTAGCAATGTCAATGTATGACGTATTATACATTCTTGGAATCAGAATTAAAAACTTATCCATCTGTGCAAAAATCAAATATGGTGTCCACAAGAAACAATAAAGGAGGAGGACAACAGAAATACTAATTATATCATCTTCTAGAGGAGAAACAGTGGCGATGTTATTGTGCAATTTATTTTGAAATCTCACTATAAATAAAATCTTCGTATTTCTTACAGTTTCCAGACTACAAATGGGGAGAGTCGGAACGAAACACCTTGTTTATACGAGCATTATACTTGGAGTGTACTTTTATGAGTTTACTTGATTTTGTGAGGTAATATCATATAATATATAAGTAAGTATCAAGAGCTACTATAAGCAGTTATCAAACATTGATCACAAACAGTTTTACACCAGAACCGTTATTGCTGATATCTGAGGAATTTTTTTCCATGAAAAGTCCAAATAGTGCCTTAATGGTTCTCACAAGACCTACGTCTTTTTGATGCCATTGCACTACATGAACACTAGTACTAGAAGTTGTTTGGATGGCGTGAGAAGGATAGAGTCAATCTACTTCACGCCATTTTTTGAATGTTCCAGTAGTTGTATTCTTCTACGTCTTGGTTTTTTACCAGTTTGTACAGTTATTCAAATAATATTACCTTATATGTGAAGATGGTTCCATTTTTGGTAGAGTAAAAGCCAAATTTCGAAAATTTAAAGGTATTGTATTCACAGATACAAAAAACATGTTTTTTCTCTAATCTTACCGTAAAATTGAGATAACATTGCAAATCCCTCCAAAGTCCAGGATATGCCTAAGGTCGCGTATGAACTTATATGTGCCCTCTATTTGAATGTAAGGCGTTACTTAGCACCTGTAGAAATATAAAAAGAACGAGGCCATTCAAATTGTAGTTTTTGACCGCCGAATTTAAAAAAGGTCACCAAGTTGTACATCATACTACTCAACATATCTTCGTAACGTCTGAACCGAATTCAATTTTCTAAAGCTCATTTTACTTTTTTTTTGAAGGCAAGAATATTTTGTGATTCTACATTTTTCGAATAATCTAACAACTATTGAGATATACGCTCGAATAGATAATGTTGTTTCAATCATGTGGAAAGAGAAGCGGAAAAACGTCTTTGGTATTTGCGAATACAATGTTTTTAACTATCCGAAATTAATTTTACTGTGCCCAAATATATCATTTTTCCATTTAAAGTATTATTCTTTCAATAACTGCAGAAATTGGTAAAATGGACTATTTAAAAAGCGTGTAAGTCATTACCATGTTCGTCATGAGCGAAGAAATGAAATAAGCTTTAAAAATTTAAAATCAGTCCACTGGTTACGCAGATGTGTTAAAAAACCGTTTCATAACTTGGAGGCCATTTTTAAACATGTCGGCCAAATGACCGCAATTTGAATCGCGTGACTTGATATAAGCAAAATGTTGAAAAGGAGGATTATCAATCATTCCTAATCAAATGGTACCATTCGTGTTGTTGCCGGATTTAGTATTTTGCGGAAAAAAGTCACCTCCTTCAAATTCAAATTCAACGGTATACTTTTTTATTACATATATTAATTCTCTAGTGTCCCTTAGAAGAATTTCCGAATATAGTAACATTATCAGAAGTCTGGAAACGGTTCAGTCTCTCGAAAAGTACTGGTCTGATAGCCCCAAATTTTGAACAGGTGGATGGACTGAAAAAATGGTAATTTTTACTACCACGCAGCTATTATCTGATCGGAAATGATGGAATATACCCTTTTTTAAAATTTGTTAAATTAAAAAATTAAAATTTGTTAATACCCTATAAATATACAGATCAACCTCTCAAAGAACTATTTAGCTCAGAGTTGTTGCGAACGATTCTTATTTATTTATTCATACTACTACAGTTTCAAATGAAAACTATTTGTAATGTCAAGTGAAACATTATGTCTTATTAAAAGAAGCCATACCTAAACGAATTGTTTATAGTGAAAAAAAAACACTGAAGTCGTGAGAGAAAAAACATGAAACGGCGATAACGTAACACTCGATAGCGACGTTTAAGGTTCGCGATAAGTGCCTGAAACTTAACTAACGTGCTCGTATCCCATTATTTTGACTTCAATGAAGTCGTATTCTAACTTCTATTTCAAAAGCATATTTCGAATCTGTAGAATCGTTCTATGTGAGAGAATCCAATGGAGCTTCTAATCAGATTTCTCACAAGGGAGCGCTACTGAGAAATGGGATATCTGAAATAACTTTTCCAGTTATTTTTGGAGTTTATGATGTGACAGATATTAATTAGGAAATCTCATAAAATCCTTTTGATACCCTTTATCCGGTAGGGGCTGAATTAGCTTTAATTCACCAAAACTAACGAACTTCTAAACTTCAAAATTTACTATACGAGGGATTTGCCTCTAATTAGGATGTTCTTCTTGCTCTCGACTTTGAAGAGTAAAATATGCATGACGTATTCATCATATTAATACTCACTCTCCTAGAACTTTAGAAATACTTACCTTCGGTTCAACTGTTTTAACAGTAATGTACTGTTTGAGTTACCCAACATTAGGCATTTGGTCGACTATTCGACATTTTTGTATGATGTCATTCCTTCAATGATGTTCTCATTGGACTTATCGTTTTCTGTCTTCACATCGCTTATCTCAGAATCCGTTCAAACGCCTTCAATCTCCGTAACTAGACTTTCATCTCCTGTATCAACTCCAACGCTATATGGTATTTCAGTAACGTTGACTATTTCTTTTATCGTCAGCAGCATTTTCAGCAGTTCTGTCAACTTGGTATGCTGCTAGTGCCACAGGCGGCCTTCATTTGATATCTAGTAAGCATCAAACGACTACCCACTTCAAATGATTAAGTCATGATAGCTAACTACCTTATCAGGGTGGCAGCTGTTGGTTGTATAAGTTGCCGAAATAATTTGAATTAATCTTATCGTCGATTCAACTTTGTCTTCTCATCATGATTCAATGCCTTTTCGGGTAAAATAATCTGACTGGTCCTACGCTTGGTTGGACCTTTCGACAACAGATGCTCCATGATAATCTCTTTAAGACGATAGCAACTATTGGATGATAGTTTTAGCTGCTTACTATCATCCATAACTTCTCTGATTGCCTTTCCTTCTAAAGATTCACCTTGTTTCATTTCTCTTCCTGTACTCAATGCATCTTCGTCAACGATATCTTCATTGGAATGTTCTAAAATAGTCTTTAACTGCTCTTCAACTAGTACTTCACCAATTGGAAAGTGCTTCGAATGAAATAATCACCTGAGCCGAGCGTAGTAATAAGCGATGGTCGACCCTTCTTTTTTTTAAACATTTTATAATTTGACATGTTTTGGCAAACAAGTTTCGTCTCTATAGTCTGCGTGACCCTCTACTCAAGTTGTTCCTTCTACTTTCTTCTGTGGTAGAAGATTCTTTTTGCTACTGGGCATTTATTTTCTTTACTTGCTGTTTGCTATGTTTCAAACACATTTTTGGACGACACAAAGTTTTTACAGATGGCTTGTCGCCACAGATTTTACTTATTTTGACATTTGTGATATCTTCGTTTGTTCCTATTACTAGTCTCTCATTTTTGATTTTCTAGCTTAGCTTGAAGATCTTGCCGGATGTTTATTGCTACCTTTGTTTGCTCAGTGCTTGAAATTGTATTTTCATCTGAATGTGACAAACCATTATCTTCTCTTCAATTTCCGTTTGGTATTTCACAATGGCTTCTTTTAGATGCCTTTTCATAAAGCTACTTTCAAGACATTCTGTTTCCTGATCTGAAGTAACATTAGTCGTATTGCCCTTTAATTTTGTTTTAATAGGTTGTGTCACTATGATACTAGGAGCTTTTGTAACCTTTTGGTATTGTCTACTTTGGTCAGACCTGTCTGCGAGATCTATGCTGCGTTAAGGGATCTTTTGATTTAATGTTCGTGTATTGATATGACATTCCTTCAAAAAAAAAAATGCGGTTTCTGATTACTTTAAAACGGGGTCTTATTATTGTCATTTTTTTTCTGTAAATTAAATGCTCCCTCCTATTTTGGTCAAATCTATTCATAAAGTTTGTGCTGGGTTGTGTAGAAACAACACACTTGTTGATTATTTCTATTTCCTGATCTAGAATTCTTTTGGCTATACTACTTCTTCCGGATTCTTTACACATGAGCCTCATCGCTGTTGCTTTATCACAAGTATTCTTTGCTTCTTCAATGCTGCATAAGGTGCCACCAGATATTTCATCATTAGTTACCTATGTACTTGACTTCTTTGTCATAGACCTTATTCCTCTAGTACCAACCTCCAAGAGTAGCCTCGTACTGGATGAAAAATACTTATCTGGCCTAAATAGAAGTACTAGATACTGATGCTCTTTTGCAAATACTGTCGCCGGTCAGATTCTTTTATTACTTCTACGAAAATGATTCAATCTTTTTTCATCATGTGTCAAGCATATATTGGTTCTTTTGTTATGGCACCTTTTCTGTTTAGTTTTGTTGTAATCTACAAATGCCTCATCTTCTACCATATCTCCGTTGACATATATAGTTTCCAACCTCGTACTGACCTGTTCAGTACGAAGTAACAAATTCTTCGCTGGTTTTAGTGAACTTAGTCTTTGTTCTAATACTTTGCCATTCCTGAAGACAGTAGCCAGTAGCATCGACACAAAGTTTGTTCGTTTAGTCTGTGTGTTCTGATCTGGTGATACTATACTTTCTTTGATTTGTCCTAAGAAAGGCTTCGCAACCGTGGCATCACAAGTTTCAGATGACTTTTCTGTACCATGACTTGAATCCTCCTTTCGTTCTACACAGTTCGAGTTGATTTTCTGTTTCCTTTTGCTACTTGCTGTTTTCGGATTTGATTGCATTTGGCTGGTGTTTTCCGTTGGTATCTCTTGATCAGGATGTTTCCTTCCAAAGTGTCTATATTCTTTTATGATAGACTCACTACCAGCAGATCTGTGAATCTTTTTCATGCGTTTCGAAGTAGATCCGAAATGACTCTCTGGGTCAAGTGTGGTCATTATTGACCTTTTTTCCAAAACTGCGTCTTCGGTGCAGCAACTGCTACTTTTATTAAGCTTTTTTGATTTCCTATTGCCATCCGTCATTGACTCATCTGAAATTGAACTCGTTTGAGTAAGTTTCCCTGTTCTACTGGATAACCTGTTATCAGAATTGATATCTCCATGAGCACTTTTTGGTTCAACTAAGGCTATTACATCAGTTGTTTTAGGAACGGTGCCTTCATTACTACTGTCGGTATTTCTATGAAACTTCTTAATTTTACTTTTGCCCTCCCTCAATAATTTACTTGTCTTTCTTGTAGTTGTACCAGAAGATCCTTCAATAGATATGGTATGTTTTATCATAGTTTTTTGCTGAGTGGTATCAAATTTCCGACTACCTGGATTAATTTTTGCTACAAGTTTACCAGGGTCAATCACCTTGGTTAACGACAAGGTGATGATACCAGGTATCCGTACTTTCCTTGTTTGGTCGGATCTGCGACGCTTGGTGGACTCTGTGTTCGCATTTGCTACAAGATTTGCATTTACTTTTTGTGTATCTTGTGAAATTTTTGTGAAGTGGGACGTATTTCTTTCTCCAGATCTATGGTTTCTTCTGTATAACCTCTCCGGCTGATCTGACATTTGCTTATTTTTTATAGGCAACCTATGCGTAGCATGGCCTTCTGGCGGCGTTGCTAGCGTACCTTGGTCTGATATCTTAACACTCAAGCTTCTTGCTTCTTCTGTGTCCGCTCCTGAATATGGGGCATTATACATCTTGATTCGCGTTGTACTTGAATTCAATGGTTCATCTGTGTATAATAAGATTATCTGGGATGTCCTTTTACAAATTGTAGCTTCAATACAACTACCAGTACTTCTTGAAGTAGAATTCCTTTGTTCCGTACCTTTAGATTTAGGCTGAGTGGCAGCGATTCCAAATGATTCTTCAGTTAGTGTTAAGTGTTCTGAATCATCTATGTCTGACCATGATGAAGTATTAATAATGCGACTGGCTGTCTTGAATTTCATCACTTCTAGATTTGTCTTTCTGGTGTTTCTGCTTTGATCTGACGTTTCTTCAGCTGAATTTTTTATTTTGGTGTCAGGTGTCACATTTACCTTCGCTATACTGGCAACTATCTGATTCTTTGAAACACGAGGGGCTAGTGACGAAGAGTCGTTGAGGGTCTTCCAATCTCCATCATCAACAGATAATAGATTACTTCTTATTTCTTCACTAGACTGATTTGCTAATTTTATTTTTGACGTTCGTGTCCTTTGGTTCAGTGTTCCAGCACCCAAGTTCCTCGATTTCTTGATTCTCTTGGTACTTGGGATCAAATCGATATCAGAATCTATTATAGATGTCCTTTTGCAAATTGTAGCATTACTTCTAGAACATTTGTTTGAATGGTTTTCAGCATTTTTTATCGGCTTTTCTGTCTCCTCTGCCCTTTCGTCGTACAAAACACTTGCGTTATGAGGATCAATAACAGACTTCAGCTTAGTGGCATTAGTAGTTTTACTACCTAATTCAGCAGTCAGTGTTCGTATTTTCTTATAACGTGTTTCAATCTCTCTCTGGATCATTCTTTTTCTTGAGTCTCGTGTCACTGACTTGTAGGATATATTTTTGTCTTCAAGTCTGCTTTCGCATATTTTAGTTTGTTGGTAAGTTATTTGATCACTTGTTGTTTGTGTATGTTGTTCTGACAATTTGGTATCTATATTTTTGCTACATCCAACCTCCCTGACTGTTTTCGTTTTGTCATTACATGTTGCCAGATGATTATCTGGATCATGACATATGACTACTGCCGCCTTTTTTCGAACCTGGTCTTTGCCACGGCTCTTACTACTTCTGAAAGGCCCTACTGATTTGTTTTCATCACCTGTGATTTCAAAAGCTGACCTTTTATGTTTTGACTTTCTGGATTTTTCTTCTGCAGATGTACCTTCACCGGCTTGGTCTTCTATAACCTTTTTCTGAACGGCATCATCCGTCGATTCAGCATTCTGTGGCGAATATTCACATGGATCAGGGGAGCGGACCAATGATGAATCATTGGGGAAAATCTCTTCATTTCGAGTATTTTCTTCTTTTCTTTTTTGTGTTGATGTACTATTCTTCAAAATGCCTCTAATTGCATGCTTAGTAGCAGATTGAGTTTTCTGATCTTGACTTGACGCTCCTCGAGATATGTCACTATTTTGTTTGTACTCCTCTGGTCCAAGGACGGAATTATTGGTCTGTCTTTCCTGACTCATTTTTCTTCGACTCAAATCATCTGTTTTGGAATCCTCTGTAATATAGCTGATTTTTCCGTCACCTGTCGGCTTTCTCATTTTTTCTTTATTGGCTACCAAATGAAGGCATTGTAGACTAAACAGGATTGTCAGTGGTTCATTCCAAGAAGTAGATACTCCTGTACTTTGGACCTTTGTGACGGTATTGCTGTTCACCTCCTCATATATACAATCCTGTAGTACGCTCTTGTCAGATCGGTCACCTAACATACGCTCACTGACTTCATTTATAACGTCACTCCAATTCCCTTCGTTTGACACAACTCTGACACCCGAATCTAGCAAACTAAGTAATGGCAATTTACTACAAAGTGGATCTGACGAACTTTCTTGAGTTTGAGTATCCTGGCATTTTCCTTCACTGAATGTATTTATACCAGTTTTTTCTGGAGTACGTTGCGTCAGGTGCTTATTTGAATCAAATAATACTATGGACCCAACTCTATTACAAATCGTACTTTTGTAACAACCACCAATAATCGTACTTGTTTCGTTTCTTCCAGATTCTCTTCTATTACTTCTACTACGGTCATATGTTTTAATATCAATATCTCCACCTATAGTTTTGTTAGGATTTGCATTAATTGCACCTTTTTTAGACTCTTCTCTAATTGGCATCAGTTCACTGCTATTGAGATCTCTACATTCTGTATCCTTACGACACTTTTTTGCATCAGGCATATCACATTCTTTTTCAATACAGGCTGACAATAGTTCATCTGAACCTAACAAGCCAATCAGTGACGGTCTATTGCAAAATGCAGTTTCTGGACAACTACAGTCGCATCTACATGTTTTCTTTTTCTGTTTCACTTTTTTATCATCTACTCGTATACTTGCATGCCCTTTGGCATTACTTGATAATTGGTTGCAGTTTTTGTGGGTTAGCATCACTAAGTTCTTATTTTCCTCCGTTGTATGCCTTTGCTGAAGCCTTACCAATATCCTGGAAGACAAAAAATATCGTGGATAAATAATCAATAGCATTTAATGCTGTGGTAGAGCAAAAACTTATGAAATATTCCGAAAATACCGTTTTCGTCCATCTAATCAATATGTGCAGATGTTTCGTACTTATTCATCAAAACGGTTCAGGTGGAACAATGCGCAAAACCGCATCAAAATAGTTTTTCTCAGGGGTACAAAGTAAAAGTACAGAACAAACTCGACAGCTGCTATCAAATTGTGATCACCGATTCGGAAACGTTACCATTGTTGCAAAAATGCACATCATTTTGCTAGTCAACATTCCATGCAAACAAAACACAGAAAAGATAATAACATAATAAACGGAACTCACCCTTCTAAGATCTCATCTACAAACCCTTGGATCTCCTGGTATTCTTCATAACTAAACTCGGCAACGTACTTTTCTCTTATCGCTACCTCATTCTCTCCATTTTCTGAAAATTCACTTTAAAATTCATTGTCAACCAGAAATAAAATTATACCTTCAGCATCGCGCTTATTTTTCCACTTCCGTCGGCTGTTCCTTGGCCTGACACGTTTCTTTTTACTGTCCTCATCCTCATTTTGACTATTCAAAATATTAGGTGTTACGTCATTTATATTCACACCGCCTACATTACTAGGCAGTTCAACTGTCTTTTCTAATAATTCACTCTCCATAGCCTCATCACAAAAACAAACCGTCTTCTTTTGCTTTGATATCCCTACAGAACTTACATCTTTAACCTCAGATCCGCTTCCTAGCTTCAATTCATGAAGGACCTTCTCATGTTGTATCCTACCCAAGTTATCAGCTGATATAAGTTTATTCCTAGCTTTGTGTCCTTTGGACAGACAACTTTTTTGATTCGTTGGTTGTGTCTTGTCCATCTTCCTATCTCCGTAATATATTTCAACTGTTCTGCTACTGGGAGACTTTTCATTGACCGCTGATTCTTCTTCTGTTCTCTCAGATTCCCTCTCATCTTTCGTACCATCTTCGATCCCTGTCGTCAAATTATTTGCCTGAGGTCCACCTGACGGCTTAAGTATCTCTTGTAAACTATTTTTCGTGCCCTTGGTACCTAAGTCACTTGCCTGAAATACCTCTTGTGATCCAAAGGGTCCTTTAGTTGTTACAATTATGTCTATCAAATCAGGCGTAGTCCTTTCTCTGGATGAGATAACTGGGTGGAATCCTCCCTTGGAGGATCCTTCACTTGATGTAGATGTATTCTGCGTATCTTCAGCGACCCCCTCGGTATTCAAACTATTTTTTGGTGATTTCTGACTTCCATTATCAGGTATCATGACCACCTCTTGTAAGGTACCTTTACTGGTTTCTGTTTCTAAGCTCTTTCGTTGATAATCCTCTCTAACCACGTCAGATCCCTCTGATGATTTTGGTTGTACTTCCAAGGTCTTATTAACTTTTGTTTCTTTGATGTTTGTTTCTGATTGCCCTATATTACCATCAATTCTTTCTAACGGCGTAATGATCTCTTCATCAATGCTATCTAATGGTAAGTCACAGAAACAGGTTCTCTTTTTTTTTTCTTTTCCGAATTTGTACTTCAATCCTTTCATGTCGGTCGACCTTGGTCCTGCAAAGACCTGAAGTATTTTCAGAGTAGAAGGATCTGACGTTTTAGTAATTCTTATAGCTACGTTCTTCAACCGCTTTTTACTCAGGCATACCCTTTTCTTCCGTTTTGATATTATTGAACCTCTCTGGGATTTTCCTTGGTATTCAATTCCTAGAAGTTTTATTTCTACGTAGGACCTAGAACATACAATATGTACATATATTAGAAGAGACGTAAAAACTTAAATGACCTAACCCATCCACCTGTACATACCAACCTGTCAAGTTCTCCTTCTTCTTTTACTCCAGTTCCAACTGTCCATCTCGCTGTTGTGGACTTCGTAATTTCAATTGCCACGTTTTTTATCTTCTTGTTGCATATACATACTTGCTTGTTTCTATTACATGACTCTTTGGTCCCAATTTTATAACCAGTGTCTACTTTAACGCCTTCTGTTTGCATTTCCTGCAAAGCGTCTTGTATCCTATGTTCTAAAGACTTAGGTATTTCATCAGCGGGCTTCACTTCTTTTTGGTTCCGTCCTCTATGTAGTGCATCTGTGTTATCCAAATAACCAACATCTTTATTGGTTTTATCTCTGAACCCTGCAACTCCAATTTTATTCTCTTCTTTATCTCTCTCACTTTCATATACCTCTAACTCATTTTGATATTGGTCTTTACTTTCAACTACTTCTGTTTGAGTGTCTGCTGACGACGCATATATTTTTTTCATGACTTTGACCAACATGTTCCTTTTACGTTTTCTACATATGCATATTTTGTGCTCTACAACATTATTAGCCTCTTTAGCGTTTGGATCAACTACTTTAGTAGAGGATATTATAACATTGGGTTCCCAGTTGAAAATCTGGTTGTCACTTGAATCTAATGTACCCAAAATTCCCACTAAGGTTTGAGCTAAGCCGTCGCCGTTTTCAACGTTCAATTCAGCTGATGTTTGTATTATTTTCTTGGTCAAGTTGCACAAACAGTTCTTTTTCTTTTGTTTTGCTTCAACTGCATCGCTTGTTTTACGATTTACAGAAAGCTTGATTTTTAGGGATTTATTTCCACATGTACCTAGAAGAAATGTATACAATAAATAATCGCTAACACCATGTGACTCAAGCAACCTAAGGGGTGTAAATCAGTATGAATGACAACAGTTGCTCAGCGTTACCGTCCAGAAGTGTGCTTTGGTAAAGTGGGAGATGGGCGGTTGAGTCGCTGTGCTTTAAAAGATTGGACTTGTTTGAGAAAATAACTAGTTTCAAACAATGGAGGTACAGTATCAGTAGTATGCCGCTCATGGTACGGATGCTCGGTCTGTTTACTTATTTCATATGGCGCAAGCGTCAAGAACTGTTACTTCAAGTATAATGTGCTGTAAAACAGCGGCAAAAAAATGTATAAATATAAGTACGTATTCATTTGATCATAAATCTTACGCACCCTACTACAAGATGCGTAAAAATACTGTTTCACGTTGTTGCCAGTTGACTTAAAAAAAAGTCTCACTGCTACCCACTAGTCTCGTCACCACGAATGCCTTAACGCCTAAGCACTCGTAGGTAACCTGGAGTTATAGGCTATACAGGGGGTCAGACTCTAGCGAGGGAACACTAGTGTCCCGTAGTTGCTAAATATCGTACGTCCTATTGATAAAATATATGATCATTAGATAGAAATCACTAAACTAGTTATATGATCATAAATATTGAGAAGTAAAAAATAAATAAAATGAAAAAGTACATTCCTAAAAACAAGTTTTTATTTAGCTGTTAATAGAACCAACCAAAAGTTTACTCACACTTACGACTACTACTTACAAGGTTAAGTAAAGTAAACGGTATACACTATTCCAATCGGTAACACATATCATCAAAATTTTTATTCATTTTATTAACAGCTAAATAAAACCAAAAAAGGCAGAGTTACCAGCAGTAAAATCGTTTGATCTTCTGTCCTCTAGAGATGCCGACATTTTTTTAAGAATTCAGATCCTTTTCTTTAGGTGTCTCACTTGAGGAGTTCTCGCACTCTTTTATTGCTTTATACATGGTGGTGTTGCCATACTTTGACGCACGTACGGAATAGGTTGCCAAAAAATTGTTTGTAATGGCATCGAGTAACTGAATTTAAGCAGGGTCATATGTCATTATTGGTTTTATGGCATGGACAAATAATATAATTTGCTTAAAATAATTGCGAGTTTAAGAATAGTTTTTAGCCTCTTCGTCACTGACAGGCGATAATTCATCTGTCATACTGTCTTCTTTGTCATTACGTAATCTCATTAACCACTGTGCCGATTTTGTCAAAACTTGGAATTTTCTCAAGTTTGAAAATGGATGTAAGGGCGCTGAGCTAAGTAAAAAAACAAATGTCTCTTAAATTTTCGTGTCTGTAGTTAGGTAGAAAACTGAAACAAATAATAGGAAATGATGTGAAAGAAATGAAACGAGACTTCTAAAAAACTACAAAGGACATGGTATGAATGCTACTGCAGGAGGTTGTTAACCCTCCTAAACAAATCTATAGAACAAACTAGTAATAGGTATAGTTTCCATCCGTCCGACCACAGAACGGCCAACCATTTACAGCTTTTTCGTGCTATTTGGCAACCCCCCAGGTGTAGGCTTGGTCTCAGATAGAACAATCGATGTAAGCTGAGCAACTATCCTATATCCAGAGTATAATTGTTTAGACTTTCGCAGTGGTCGATTCTGGTAACAGATGGCACTTTGTTGTGTCCTTAAATCCATAGATGAGGTGAGGTAATGATGTCAATTTAGCATCAGCTTTATTTGCCCTTGTAGTGACTGCAGCCCGGTTGACATATTCGAATTGAAAAATAAATGCGGACTTGTATATAAAGTGGAAGAAACTGATGCGCATAAAACTCTTCACAAGAGTGGAACTGGTGCCTAAAACTTTTGAGTAGTTTTCTTACGTTGTCTACACGGGCCAGCTCAACCAAGTACTATGTAAATATTCCAGAACATATGCAACGAAGCTCCGAAAGGGTACTATGAAGCTTCCAAATTGATCATGGGTTATTTTGTAAATTAGAAGTAAAAGTACACATCACACTCACGAATCAGATAAAGTTTGGCTGGATATCCTTCGTCAATTACACCTCGACCTAGGCTCCTGTATGAAAAAACAGATTCCAAATATGCTGGGATAGGAGTACGAAAATCATTAGCAAGGCATTTATTTTGCATCCAGGCACGCAGCATCAACTTGTTGTGAATTGCCCTATACACATCCAACCGCCAATGCGACCCACTTCCTAGGGGATCGGATGCCGGCAATCGACAATCTAGTAGTTATGTAGTACAGAAAGTATCTCCGCATCATCTGCTTGGAAAAATATTTTGATTGCTTTTTCGCATGATCTCGTTCATAAAAGAACCGCTTTAATAAATGTTGCTAGACCTAAAATTGCCTCAAGAATTGTTTTTCATTTTTAATAAGCTTTGCATAAAAGCTAATCAATATATCTTTTCCGAGTGGATGCGAAGATATTTCCTGGATAATTAGTGCAGGTAATGACTGGGTAATCGCATTCAAATGACAGATAGCACTTATGCTACCAGTATCATCTCAGCCACCACGGCAGAATCTGTTTTTATGATGGCGTGGTTCTTCTAATGCTAACTCTGTGTTCTTTGATAAAACCTTGATTTAAAAATATATCTTTTCTTTTATTTACAACAAAACTATAGGCTGTGTAAAAGAGATTTCCAACTTTTAGAACAGCACTTATATACCAGCATAGTTTTTCGTTACCTTTCACAGTTTTGCTTTTCTTTATATCACAAAGACATATTCGTTTAATTCCTTTCCCAGCCCAAGCGTCAACCTTCAGTTTTCTTCGAAGATTAGCTTCCTCCCTATGTTTTTGCTTTACTATATCATCCAAGGACTCGTCAACTACCTCAGGAGGGACTATCCCAAACTCAGGAACTGCTTCAGATTGAGGTGGCGTATCAGAGTGAGGAATCACTTCAGAGCGAGACGCAGCCTTCAACAGAGGCGCTACCTCAGACTGAAGCAAAACGTCTGATTGACGTACTATCTGAGACTGAGGTTCTTTTACAGTATATATAACATCTATGCCTTGGATATCTGCTTGAATTCTTTTATTTCTCCTGCGTCTGCCGCAAGAAACAAGCTGAACAACTCTTGGATCGACCTGTGGATCTACAATGATGAAACTGGTGTCTCGGTATTTGCGGATTGCTTCTAGATCTTCGGGGTCTACAAATGACTAAAAATGGAAAATTAATTAATTTACTATAATTATTGGTGTCCTTGTTACACCATAGTCCCAGTAACCGCTGATTTTTTTTAAAAAAGTAGATTGTTATGTACTTTCCGAACAACCGGATGTGCCGCCATATGAAAATATTTAATCCGAGTTGATCCTATAAAGCTTACTGTGACTCAAAAGTGTCGTAATTGCCTACCGATATCTCGAAAACGTAACCATGCTGCACTAAATAGCCTCAGCTACGACAACGTTTCAAGAGATGACCATAACGTTTTAGGTTTATTTTCACGAGTCATTGTTCCGAATGACTAAGTGTAGGGCCACAAAAAGTAAGAAACGAATGCCATTTTCCTGTTTTTAAAAGACAAAGTTTTTTCCCATATAACCCACCTCAAAATAAAAGCACTGCTTTCGTAAACGCTTAAAAAACCCTACTTATTTTTTGAGCTGGTCAAGTTACCAAGCTGAAAATGTGGATGATGAAAATGACGCACGAATAACGTAAACACAGCAGTTGAAAATTTCAATATGGCGGCGGGGTGACATCTTGTAACCTTTTTTTATAAATGGGATGAGGGGTTGTGAAGATCCTCAAATGCTCATGCCAAAGACGAGAGTTTTTATATACTGAACGCAACTAATCATGAAAACGTAAGAGTATGTACTTCAGCTAAAAAATGACACAGATTATTACAATTTTTTTTAATTGGATGTTTCATATCCTATTATATAATGTTTCATATCGAAGCGAAGAAGACTGATATAACATACTACAGCGTTTTGATGTTATGACACAATGTACAAAAACGCGGAACTCGCCACTTAAAAAGATTGTCATTTTGTATTCTGGGGCTATAAAGCCAACAGGAAAATGAGTGTTTGCCAATTACTCTGGTGAGATATATGCTTATCTTTTATAAACTTTCCTCCCATACAAAATGACTATTAAATCTTTAAGCGCAAAGCAAGAAAAAATGACATAGTGCTGCTGGGTTCATAGCTGGAACTAATGTTTTGGAGCCCCAGCAAATATTTGGCTCTGAAGCCAAGAGCAACTGCAGACAGCACTGTTTCGTGCTCATTAGCAACTCATCAGTGTGGCATAGGTAACTAGTAGTCCTGCAGTCAGATGAACGAAAAGCAAACAACTGGATATGGTCATTTAAAAAACTCAAAATATCTTCTATAACTTTTTCATCAGCTGTCTGAATCTCTGTAGCATCTATATGAACTGGGAAGGTGTCTACTTTTGGTTTTACTTTTTCTTCAGCAGTTCAGTATTCCATGTTCTTTGTGGAAGAGTTTTCATAAAAAAAATCATTTTCTTTGTTGTTAAGACTTTGATTCTATGTCTTTTTCTGCTTGCTTGACCCTTCAGGTTTTCTATATATCCTTCTTCACATTAATTTTTTGAGCAGTCTTATTAGGGCCCAGAAATATTTTTTTCAATTTTACAAAAAAATTGATCGCATTAAAATAAGGTTAATTATCATCAATATGCCATTTACCCACATCACCTGCCTGACACTGGTAATACTGTAACAAGGGATTTGGTACTAGAAGAGGAACGTCAATTTTAAAGGTTGGTGCATCTGTGAACTTGGAGGAACACATAAAACATTTGGTTCGCATTTGATTTATCATACTAGTTGAGACTACATGAGATCATGATTATGAACTACTCGTAGTATTTAACATGAACTTATCTGTGTGGAGGTAGGCGAAAAATCTGACGTTCTTCGCCGACCGACGGTATGCCAAGATGTTCGGCATGATGATGCCATTCATAGATGGAAATCGTCAGATTTTTCGTCTACCTTCGCACCCCTTATGTTATATGCCACTGTATTTACCCGTATTTCAAAGTCGTCTTCATCTTTCTCTACTTCTGTCTCGTCACCTTCAGACTCATATGTATATATTCCATCTGTATCCTCTACCGGCTTGAAATAGGGAATCTTACCCCCTTCTTTAATTTCATTGAGGCTTCCTTGACCATGGATTTTGCGCAGGTAGAGTCTAGGCGTGTCTTCGTCATGTTGCCGTAAGTACGACTCTAGATAGATGCTGTTTGGCTTTGGTGGGTCTTGTTCATCTTTACGGATCTTCTCAGCGATGTATTTGAAGGGACCATGGTCCGCAACCATCTCAAGGTGCCGGGAAAGTTACATTTTAGAATTTTGGGGTTAGTTGTAATGACAATGTCAATAGCTGGGCGAGGCATGATGATGCAGATTGTCTCTATAAGGGCTAGCCATCAAGCCTAGATATAAGAAGTTAAGCTCATCGAGTGGAGGTGGAGCTAAAAGTATCAAGATTGAAGGCGTATTCTGCTAGAAGTGGTGATAATACTGATCCCATTGGACAACCATGTGCTTGTGAATAGGTTTTGTAGTAATTTTTATCAAAAAGATATTCTGAGATGGTCACAAAAGATTCCAGAGTTAGACTGCAGCACTGACATTTTTGATCCCAATGTTTGTGAATGGATATCGCCCTGTATAAGGGATAGTTGACAATACGTCATATTTTTGCTCGTGAAAGTTTTCAAGTTTTTCAAAGAAAATCCGATTTAAAAACATGGAGATAGACTCTGGAGGTCAAAATAATGATCCCCAGCATCCCTGATGATGAATGGACCCAGCCAGAAGGAGAGAACCGAAATTAATATGAAATCAAAGGAACTGATGACACCAGCTGTAGCAGACGAAAAGGACAGAACCATCCAGCGCCTGACCCTGATCATCGAAAGCCAGGCCCAGCAAATAAAGGAACTGACTGAGACAGTTAGGGACCCAAACAGTAAAATAGACTGCCTGACCACCCAGGTAACACAGTTAATTAATAATCCAAATTTTAATTCCAAATCTGACAAGGCTGTCAATTTAAAAAGACCTCTTGAAAACTTAACTGACGTGACATCGACCGACGATGAAATACAGAATGACGGATTCGTCCAGGTCCAGGAAAAGACGTAGCGACAAAATGAACAAAACCGATAAGACGGATGACTTCCCACCTCTTCCAAAAGCAAAATCCAAATTCAAGTTAACAGTCTCCTCAAAACCGTCTGCTTCATTAAACGTATCAACTTCTTAAGCCACTTGTCCTATGACGGTCGATGCAGTGACCACATCTTCTCAATCTCTGGCCATTGCATCGACTGACGGTGCATTATCTCAACAATCTCACGTTGCTAGTGAGTTAACCAGCACAGCACCCCGCCAGGTGCGAATCACGCCCTCAGTCCAAGCTTAGGCATTAAGATAGAACGCGCAGTTGCCGTTGATGCGGGATTCAGGATTTTGCCGAAAACTGAGGATGACTACCGCAGGGTCGTTCGCCTGTTCAGGGAGGAGGACGTGCCCCATCATACGTTCCTTCTTCCTTCAGAACGAAATATTCACGCGGTAGTCAGAGGTATACCCGCAATGTCTTCGGAATAGGAGATCAAAGGGGAATTAGAACAGAGGGGATATACTCCTCTCCAAATTATCCGACTCAAATACAGTCGCGGCGCACCCATGCCTTTGGTGGCCGTGATACTGCCCAAGATTGAAAAGTCCCAGCAGCTGTTCAATGAACATGAGCTGCTGGGTCTAGCAATCAGAGTTGAAGTTCAAAAGAACTCTAGACTTATTGGGCAGTGTCACCGCTGCCAAAGGTATGGTCATGCGCACTCTTACTGCACAGCATTTTCCAAATGTTGAAATGTGCTTCCGACCACATGACACACTTATGCCTCCTCACAGGACAAGAGGAGCGAAGGTGTGCGAACTGTGGAGGGGCGCATCCCGCTAACAGTCCCACTTGCAGATTCACCCCCAGGCGAAATCTGCAAGTCATAGCGCAAAGACGCAGCAAGTCATACGCGGAAGCAGCCGTCTCAACATCTTCGGCTGCCCCCTCTGTTCAACAAATAATAAGTGCCCTAATTAGCGCCACTCAGGCATTGCAGGCGATCTTTCCGCAGCCATTGAATGGCTAAGTACAATAGACAACCTGTACTTATCAAAATTCTTTTTTGGAATTGTCTGGGCCTAATGGATATTTCCAAAAAACGGAAATGATGAACTCTATTGGATGAGAGTATAGACGTAGCTCTACTGCAGGAAACATTACTTAATCCGGCAGATCGCTTAGCTTTCTCGAGCTATGATGGTATATGCGCTGACAGATTGAATGGTGGCTTGTCTGTTTTCGTTAAACGTGGTATTGACTATCACAGAAGCACAAACGCTTAGATGCAAAGCATTGAAGCCGCGTCCGTGGTGGTCAATATGGGGGGATGCATTCCGTTGAAGATCACTTCGGTGTATGTCAGGTGCGGTGCCAGGCTGCGAGAGGAGGACTTGGAAGTCCTTCTGGACTGTTCGGGCCCTCTTATTGTGGCAGGGGACTACAACTGCAAACACCGATCATGGAACTCAAGGCTTAACTCTACTTGTGGGGTTCGGCTTTAAAACCATGTGATGCGAAACGGGTATCTTATTTACAGCACCGAAAAGCCGACACACCATCCTTTCAATCACCTTCATGCACCAGATGTTATAGACTTTGCAATATCGAAAAACTGTAGGTTCAGTATTGTTTCTAGGATCTTGTATGACGTCTCTAGTGACCATCTACCTGTTGTTTTTGTTGACGTCATGGAAAGGCAGTTCTCTCCCAATTATGATCTGGACAATGACCTTGACGGGGAACGACAAATTGTAAGATCTATCAGGAGTTATTTCAGCGCGAATGGCGATATCAACATCAGTGCTAACATCGGTGACTCCTTTTCAGAAGGTTCTTCTACGGAAGACTCTTCAGACGAATCTCAGCATAGTACGTTTTGCACACGAGCAGAGCTCCAAGGCCACATTAAGGACCTAAAGGTGCCCAAAGCACCTGGAGAGGATCAAATCACCCACAAAGCACTGGAGTTGCTTTTGTTCAAGGCTTTGACTTATCTGGTGGCAATAATCAATGCAATGCGCAGAACTCATTACTTTCCTAAGGTGAGGAAGATCACTGAAGTCATTATGATCCCAAAGAAGGCAGGTTCGATATTCCCCCAGGATTACCGTCCCCATTAGTCTGCTGTCAGCTCCTTCTAAGCTCGCTGAAAAGGTGATTTATCGTCACCTTGAGAATTTCTCGTCAGATCACCATGTGATTCCTGACGTGCAACTCGGCTTTTGGTCTGAGCATAGCACGGAGCTACATGCAGTTAGACTGGTGGAGCATGTAACCAGGGGGTTCACCCTAAACAAAAGTACTGGTATCTTGCTTTTAGATGTATCAATGGCATTCGACAAGGTGTGGCACATGGACCTCTTGTATAAGCTCAACCAAAAGGGTTTTCCATTTTGGCTACTAAAACTGTTGAAAACTTTTCTAGAAGGAAGTTTCGGATCAAAAAATTAACAATGTGTGGTCAACAAGCCGGTGTTCCCCAGGGTTCGGTCTTAGGACTAATCCTTCCTTCACTTTATATACATGACGTCCCTTGCCCCAGCAACTGTGAAGTCTATCTCTATGCTGAAGACACTGCACTGCTAGCCCAGTCTTGTTCTGGTAACCTGGTTCACGTCAGGCTGCAGAGTGCGGTGTAGGAAGTATTGGAGTGGGCGGATCGGTGGTTGATCAAAATTAATAGTTCGAAAACGCAGGCAATCTATTGTACTGAAAAACGTCGCGGTGCCCCTTCAGAGATATCAGTGAATGGAACTCGTATACCATGGGAGCAATCAGTCAGGTATATTGGAGTCATCATTGACAAGAGGTTGACCTCGCAGAAAAATACTGATATTTTGAAAACAAAATTCCAAATTACCTTTCGGCAGCTTTATCCTTTGTTGTGTAGCAATTCAAAATTAAATGTGATCAACAAGATTCGGTTGTATAAAATGGTCATAAGACCCGCAATCACCTACGCATGAGCGGCTTGGTGTTCTCTTGCCAAGACTTACATGCAGAGACGGCAAGCCCTTCAAAACAGAACCCTACGCTCAATTACTAACGCCTCTTGGTACGTGTCAAATGAGAACATTCACAGAGATCCTGATATCCCATATCTAAAAGATTATGCAAAAGAACAGGCGCAGCGACGTTATTACCAATTATCAAATTAAATTGTAAATTCAGACCAGCCAAAATTATTTCAGTATACAAAACGGATCAAAATTATTTTTTGGAGCTTCAAAATAATTTGAGTAGTCAAAGCAATAATGCTTAAGCTATTTCAAATGATTTACTTCTTTACCTTTCTCTATTTATTCCTTCCTTTCTTTCCTTCTTTCCCTTTTCCCCTTAAACATGTTTGGCATCTGGGTAGCCAGACCAGACAGACTAACAGACCGACGAGACTTTTAACTAAGAGCAAAGGTCCACCGGACCGCTCTGATGAATAATGACCAATAGTATTTGTGAATGGATCTGATGCAATCTTCTAAGTAGACATTACTGAAAAGTGACACAACATCCAAACTTACGATAACAGGTCCAGGTGGCATCTGCAACCTTTTAGATTGTCGATATACATCAAAGGAGTCTTTAATATAGTATTCATCTTTATTATATATGAAATTACTGAGGATAGAGCCTGCGTAGCTGAACCAATGGATGCCACTATAGGTCTTACTGAAAGTATTGATTTCTGTATTGTAGGAAGTGCATACAATTTTCGTAAGACTGAGTTGTAAGTGGTTAATGATTTCTTTGGTCCTGATTTATCTGTTCACTGTTAAACTATCTATTAATAAGTTGTTGCATAGATCAAAATATTGTTGCCTAAGCATTATTACAGTGACATTTCCTTTGCCAGATCGTGTAACAATTAATTCAGGATGTCCTTTTAGGAATTTTTTAGTTTTGTTCAATAGATTACGATAGAAGGAGTGCCTCTTTTTTATGTTATTGTTATGATAAAAGTTTGTAATGGTGTTAGTGAATCGAGCTGTGAAAATGTTCCTGCTTGTTTCATCACTAATGGAGGAGGCTATTATGTCCAGATCAGCTAGAATTGATCTGATTGAGATGTACTTGTTAATGATCGGTTCAACACTAAACTAACAAGAAATACGTATCGATCGAGTTACCTATCATATTTTTCTGCTCGAATTCACTTTGGTTCTTTTTGCGGAATTTGCCCATTACTTTTTTCTATTTGTCATATATATATACAGGGTGGTGCATCGAAAACGAAACAGACGCATTTACTGGCAGCTCAGTTTTTTTTTTGAAAA